ACCCCCGGGATACCGTCCCCGAACCGACCTCGATCTTATCAGGGGAACGAAAACTGGCATAAGCATAAAAACTCGGAGGTCCGCGCGGATTTCTTGGATCCGCGCTGAGCCCCCCTCCCTGGCGCGCGGAGCGCGCCAGGGGCGGCGCCAGAGGCGACGCCAGGGGGCCCCAGCGCCGATCCGAGAAGTCCACGCGGGCCTCCGAATTACTATGCTTATGCCATTTCTCGTTCCCCCTACCCCCTCCAGGCGCGCCGCCTCGGGGATCTTCTGACCAAGGTCAATGCAGACCTTGGTCAATCAGGCCTACACAATCCTGCAAGATCCTGCACCCAAACCCGGGTCAATGCGAAGGATCCTGCAGGATCCTGCACCCAAACCCGGGTCAGTGCGACCCTGCCGCTGCAAAATCCTGTAAGATCCGGCGCTCTGGCTGACCCCCGTCTGCACTGACCCCCGTCTCGAGGCTCCCGACCCCCCGTATCAAATGTTTGGCCGGCGGAGGAGGAGGAGGAGGAGGAGGAGGAGGAGGAGGAGGAGGAGGAGGAGGAGGCAGGAGGAGGAGGAGGAGGAGGAGGAGGAGGAGGAGGAGGAGGAGGAGGAGGAGGAGGAGCGCCCCCCCACCCCACGCGGGCCGCCGCCAGCGCCCGCGCGCGGGCTGCGCTGCCCGCCCGCCGGAGGCGCGCGGCCGAGGCGCCAGAGGGCTCCTCTCGGGGGGGCGCCGCGTCGGGGGGGGGCGGGCCGCCGCCGCTCGCGGATCGCTCTCGCGGCCGCTTCGGCGGTGCATGACGTGCCTCGTCGATTTTCGTCGCCTTCCAGGTCGGCTTCGTCGTCGTTGTCGTGGCCGTCTTCGTGGTCGCCGCCGCCGCGGGACGTTCTGGTGGTCGCTTTCGTCGCGTTTTGGCTGCAAGTCCCGCAATCTTCGACGACGTTTTGTCGTTGTTGTAACCAGTGCGCGCGGAACCTGGAGCACGCATGCGCGCAGACAGGCAGGTGCGAGCACAGCGCACCAGCCACTGAAGCCCTTGCAAAAGCTCTTTGGGGGCTGTGCACGGGCCCACAAGCTCAGAAAACCCAGAAAACGCGGCCGAAAACTGGGGTTGGCTGTGAACTGTCGACCTCGGGGGGCCGCGAACGAGCCCACGAAATCTTTGTCGTTTCAGCTGCCGTTGCCGACCACGTGGTTGCGCCGCCATGATCGCCATGGTCGTCGTGATGTTCATCCATCGTGCTTCGGGTTGACCCAAAAGGGGGTCCAGCTGAAAGGGGGTGGTGCAATAGGTTTAGTGTAATGGATTTGTGGGGTTGCAGTACATCTGGGGCGTGCAATACATGTCAGGGCGCACACGTACTGCTGTACTCTCGTGCGCGATGCATTACTTGCAAGGCAATGCAGCACAATTCTCCGGCGCAGTACATTTGCAACACAGCTGCCCCAAATCTACAGTCGGGGCGTTGACCTAAGGAACCCTAACTAAGGAACGAGGCCCCTTTTTTTCCATAAGTTGAACTCCGATTTCCGATCGAAAACAGAAGGAACACCTGACGCAAGCTGTGAAACACTTAAGGAACGCGGAGTCCCTCCCCAACGAAAAGGGTTCCTTCTTCAGGGCCCCGACTGTATTGCACCACCCGCCTTTCAGCTGGACCCCCTTCTGGGACAAGGAGGAGGAGGAGGAGGAGGAGGAGGAGGAGGAGGAGGAGGAGGAGGAGGAGACCCAAAGTGCTACCAGCGAGGAACGCTGGACAGGGAACGAGCGGGGCCGGCCTGGCCACGGCGAGCTGCGGCCACGAGCGGGCCCCCCGGCCCGAACTTCGGGAACAGCCCGACACATCAGCGCACCACCTGCGTCCAAAGCCAAGGGCTCCCAGCTTCGCGCTCCGCGCTGCGCGACGCGCGAAGTGCAAATCCCTTCGCGCTCTCGCGCCGCCTCCCAGGGGAGAAGAGGATGAGGAGGAGTCGGAGCCGAACCGCGAAGCGCGAAGAACTTCGCGCCCTCGAGGGCGCCCTTGAAAACGGTCCTTCTTTCCGCGTGCGTGTACCGTCGACCCGAACCATAAGGATGCGCGGTAAGGACGCAAGGGCCTTGGAGGGCCCTGTCAACGTTTTTCGAGCGAGGTTGGCCAGTGAGAGCCGCTGAGGATGGGGCGAAGGGGCTGGACCTCAACGGTGTTATTCGTTTTATTTTCGTTTTGCTCTACCTGTTTTCGTGTACCTCCCTCCCAAAGCGAAAAAACAGAACACAGCCGAAGTCCATCAAAACAGCGTTTAGAGAAGCTGTTGGTCTGCGGCGCCGTCTGGATGACGCGGCAGAAGAAAATGTAGATTAAGGCCGTCGTGCGCGGCGGCTGGGTGCATGCTGGCCTCCTCTGCCTCCTCCTCCCTTTTCCTTAGCCGCCGCCTCCTCCTCCAGAGAGCGGCAGCCGCAGCAGCAGCGCGGGCGCGGGGGGCATCGGCCGCATCGCCGGCCTCCTCCTCCCCGCCCCACTACCTCCTCCTCCTCCTCCTCCTCCTCCTCCTCTTCCTCCTCCTCCTCCTCCTCCTCCTCCTGTTCCTCCTCCTCCTCCTCCTCCTCCTCCTCCTCCTCGGGGTGGGGCTGGGAGCTGGGGTGCGGCGGGCAGCGTCCTCCTCGCAAACCTCTGCTGGGCCGAAGGGGCCGCGGTGCAAGGGCACCCCTGGGAAGGCTGCCCATCCTTGCTGTGCGGGCTGCCCGTCCTGTCGGGAGTGGACAGGGACCCCCCCCCCCCGGTAGCAGAGCAGCCTCTGGTGACAACGGCCGGGAGCCAGGCCCGGCGGGCGCAGGCCGGCAGAGGAGTCGGCCGCAGGACTCTCCCGGTCATCGAGAGCACGTTCTGCGAAGCTACTTGGCAGGAGAGGCGGGATCGACCAGCCTGCGGTGTGAATCATGCTGGCAACGGTTCTCATCGTTTTCGTCGCCCTTTTCGTCGCCGTCGCCGTCGCCGTCGCCGTCGCCGTCGCCGTCGCCGTCGCCGTCGCCGTCGCCGTCGCCGTCGCCGTCGTCGTCGTCGTCGTCGTCGTCGTCGTCGTCGTCGTCACTGTTTCCGCGGAAAAAGCCACACGATATTAGCTTGAGACGGCGCCGAGATCATTGTCTGTAAGACGGTTGACCGAAAACTTAACCGATGTGAGCAAGGGGAGGCGGACGGAGCCTCCAAAGAGAACCGACGTCCGCCCCCTCATTTTCTTGCACCTGCTCCTCGTCGAGAGTGAATCGGGGTGAAGGTCGGGGGCGAAGATGAATGTTCCTGGCCCTTGAGGTCGTGCCCATGCTCAATCTTCGACGGGGGCCTCCGCATGCCCCAACAAGAACCCGACACGGAAGAGAGCGCTCTTTACTTCCACCCCCGCAAGGCCGTGACGGAGGGGGGGGGTCGGGACCCCTTGGGGGGTAACGGCAAGGTCGGCGGGCCCAGCATGGGGGCCTGGGCGCCAGACGACGACGACGACGACGACGACGAAGACGGGGACGAGGACGAAGACGAGGGACGAAGACGAAGACGAGGGACGAAGACTAGATGAACGGCGACGACGATTACGACGAGGGCCGCCACTGAAATTCTCTGGAAGTCTCCGGACGCCTCAGGATGTTTCTGGCATCAGGAGGCCCCTCGAAGCCCTCGGAAAAAAACGACGACGACGAGGATGACGAGGGCGAGGACGGGGAACACGACGAGAACGACGACAACGACGAGGCCGACGCCGACGCCGATGCCGACGACGTCAACGACGTCGACGACGACGACGAGGACGACGGTGAGGGCAAGGACGACGAAGACGACGAGGACGACGACGAGGACGACGAGGGCGACGACGACGACGACGACGAGAGCGACGACGAAGATGGCCGCCACTGAACATATCCAGAGGTGTCCAGAGGCTTCGGTGGGTCTCTAGAGGCGTCTGGAGGCGACGACATCAACGGCGACATCTAGTGGGTCTCTGGAGGCGTCTGGAGGTGTCGAGGCCAGCGGAGACGACGACATCAACGACGACGAGAACGACGAGAACGACGAGGACGACGACGACGATCACGACGACGGCCGCCACTGAAGGTCACCAGTAGTTCTCGAAGAGTCAGGGTGTCTCCAGACGCCTTTGGAGATGTGTTCAGGCTCTTAGAAGCCCTCGGAAACGACGACGACGACAAGGACGAGAACGGGCAACACGACGAAAACGACGACGCCAACGACGAAGATAACGACGACGACGACGTCTACGACGTTAAAACCACGAGGACGAACACGAAAACGAGGACGACGACGAGGGCGACGACGACGATGACGAGAACGACGACGAGGACTGCCCCATGTGAAGATCTCCAGAAGTCTCCAAGAAACTGCGGGAGGTCTGTGGAGGCCTCTGAAGTCATTTGGAGGTCCTTCGAAGCCCTTGGAAACGAAAACGGCGACGACGACGACAATGAGGAGGAGGAGGAAGAGGTGGACGCGGAGGGTGAGGGGGAGGAGAAGGAGGAGGAGGAAAAGGAGGAGGTGGAGGAGGAGGAGGACGTGGAGGAGGAGGAGAGGAGGAGGAGGAGGAGGAGGAGGAGGAGGAGGAGGAGGAGGAGGAGGAGGAGGAAGACGACGACAGCTAAAACAACGACGACCACGACCAATTACGTTGAGGGCCGCCGCGGAGGGTCTCTGGAAGGCCTCTGGAGACCCAAGGATGTCCCCGGAGGTCTCTGGAGGCGTCCGGGCGGCCCCTCGGGGCCCTCGGAAACGATGGCGACGACGAGGGGGACGTGGGGGTAGGCGGGGAACACAACGAGAACTGCGACGACAACGACGGCGCCGACGACGACAGCGGCCGCCTCAGAAGGTCTCCAAAAGGTCTCCGAGGACCTCGGGTGATATCTGGAAGCCTCTGAAGGCGACTGCAGCCTCTTCGAGGCCCTCCGATACGACGACGACGACGACGAGGGCGAGGACGACGACGGTGACGACGACGATACTGACGATCACCATCGTCTTGGTAGGGGCGCCGCCCAGCAAGCAAGGAAACCTGGCGTAACGGCGGCCCGGCAATAACAATCACGGACGGGCAGACGGGTGGGCCCCATTGCGGGGCCCCGATGAGGAGAAAGGAGAAGCGCCAGCGCGGGCCGTGCGAGAAGACGAAGAAGCACCGATGCGGGCCCCAGCAGCAGCAGCAGCAGAAGAGGACGGACTGGCTGCATTCGGACGACATGCGTCCGGCCAAGCAGCACCTAGGAAACCCAGGCATGGCGTCCGCCACGCACGGCTGAGCTCGTGCTGATCCGCCTCGCGGTCACAGAAGAAACGCTTCCAACGCGACTCTTGCGCATCGAAGCCGAACGCATGGCATCTGGAAGCGGCAGACACACGACTGCGTTTCATGGACGCGCCCCAAAATGCAGTCGTGCGCGGGCGCGGTGCGGGCCCCCCTCGTCGTAGGCGATGCCCTGCCGCGCCAGCCTGGCAGGATGGTCGGCCACGCGCGCAGGGATGCGGCACGCGGGCGCGACATCATCCGCCACCACGTGGGCAGCGGAGCTCTGCTGCGCACGAGCACGGAGAGCGGCCGCATGCTGTCTCCCGCCTTCCTGCTTGGCAGAAAGCTCATGATCAGCTGTCTCGAGGGCGCTCCGGGCGTGACCGTGCGTGGCCAGGCACTCGCTGAGAGGGTCGGCGCCAACGACGCGCTCCATGACGTCGATCAGACGAGCACCGCCAAGGGCTGTCTTGAAGACGTGGTCCATCTGCAGACTGCTGCTCAACCGGACAGCGGGGTCCCGAGAAAAGGTCTCGAGCTGCGCGCTCAGAATTCGGCAGTCCATCAGAGGCCGCGTCGTCAGGGTTTGTGTGGTCGCCTCGTGCGTGCAGCCAAATATGCGCCAGGACCTGCGTAGCAGCGGACAGGCGCCGCGAACCCCACAGCGTGTTGCTCCAGCATCGTGATCACCGCCTGCACGAGCATGCCCTTGGCCTTGGGCGTCTGTGACAACACGGCGGCGGACGGGTGCAGGTCTGGCAAATGCCACTTGCCAGGGCCGGGCCTTCCTTCAACGGCAGGCGCGTCTGCGTATGAATCTCGTAGAGTACCGTGAGCTCCACCAGGCACACGGTGCCGCAGGAGTCGCGGGGAGGAGCATCACAACGGTCTGGCCACTCCAGGGTGCGCCACCACTAGAGGAAACGGTCCTAGAACTGGCGGCCGTGCACCCACCTCGGGGCTTCGTCAACGGGGGTTTAGCTAAACGGGGGCTTAGGCTTTTCCATATCATATGCCCCGGCGCCCAGGGTCCCCTAAACGGGGGCATAGCCAAACGTGGAAATTGGCGTTCCCCGTACCCCCGTTTGCTGTGCCCCCGTCTCTGGCGCCCTGACCACCTGTTTGCCGAACGCCACCGGGAGCAGAAGAACATCCTCGCTGCGCCACGGGGCGGCGAAGGCAGGAGCCGCGCCCCACACCAAAGGGGCGCTGCGGCGGCAGAGCGTCGGGATCGTCAGCGCAGCCATGGGCTTGACTCCCCAAGAGCGCAGGAGAGCCTAGAATCGAATCGAGAAGTCGGATCGGCAATCGGAATGAATCGGATCGGCGGGAATCGGCGGGCTAGTAGGCCTCCATTAGAGAATCGGCATCCGAATCGGAACCCCCCGTCGAACAGAATCGGAATCGGAGGCCATCGAAATCGAATCGAATCGGAGGAGTCGAAAAGAGCCCTGTACTCCTGGTCGTCGCCGCTGCGCACACCAAGCATGCGGCAGTGCACCGCAAGCTGAAAACACTCCACACGGCAAGCCGAGGCCGCGACTCGCTGCACCTTCGCGCGGGCAGCGCCGCGGGAGCCCGCGTGCTCGGAACGGCCCCGCTTGGCAGCAGCGTCGGCTGTCGTTGCCGACGATAACGACGATGACGATAAACGACGACGACGACGAAGACGAGGGCGACGAAGACTGGACCAACGAGGACGACGAGGACGATTACGACGAGGGCCGCTACTGAAGGTCTCAAGAAGTCTCCAGAGACCTCAGGATGTCTCCAGAGGACGGGGAACATGTCGAGAACGACGACAACAACGTTGACGCCGACGCCGACGACGACGAACGCCTCTGAAAATCTCCACAGATCTGCGAAGGCCTCCGGTCTGCAGGCCCTTCGAGGCACTTCGACACGACGACGACGAGGACGAGGAGGGCGACGACGACGACGACGACGGCGGCGATGATAACGACGATGACGATAAACGACGACGACGATAAACGACGAAGAAGAGAACGACGGCGACGACGATGACGACAAAGTGATCACCACACTTCGACGACGACTTTGGGGATGACGACGAGGACGATGACGACGACGCCGACGCCAATGCGACGCCGGCGACGTCAACAGGACGACGACGGTGACGTGGACGTGGACGTTGATGTCGACGATGACGACGACGGCCGCCTCTGGAGGCGTCTGTGGGCTGTCCGTTGCCTGTCAGCACTACACTGTGCCATTGAGCACGGCGTCATGGCTGTTGGTTCCACCCCGTCCCCGTGCGCTCGTTACCGTGAGGGGCGAGGGAAGGGCGACCCCCCAGTCACGGACGTTACGGGTTCAACAAATAAGAAGCCACCTCTAAGAAAAAAACGATCATGGATCCCAGGGGCTGGGGAGCTTGTGGTGCAAGACGCGGGTCGTTCTGGACCCCAGGGATTTTGCCAAGGACCAGGATCAATTCTTCATCCCGAGTCGGGTGCACTCTTCGTGCAGGGACCGACTGTCCTGGCATTCTGATCGGCTTAACCACGACATGTCTTAAACAAAGAAATGATCCGATGACCAAAACAATCTTCATATAACACAAACAGATGTATTCAAACACAACAATGTCAGCTAGACTTATCCTACCAACTTTTCATGCAAACCACATTCATGTTCTTAGAGCTTTCTTTGGTGGGCCTACAGGCAAGCCAGGACGCCTCGCCACTGCTCGAACGCTGAGAACGACCCTTGGCAAGAGGCAAGTGTGACTTTCGGTGCGCGGCTTCCGAGGGCCGCCCTGTGCCAACAAAGGAGCCTGCGACCTGCTCAATCCGCGACACCATGAAGTCCTGCCCGCTTCTCCGGGGACAATTTTTCGCCTCCGATCCATTTCTGATGCCCCCCGGGCCCTACTGATACGTTTCCTAAAGGGACGCCAGCGAAAGGGACTTCTGAGACCGCGGCGCTGGATTTGAGACCTCGAAAAGTGCGAGCGAAAGCGTCGCGCAGCGACCTTGTGGGCGAAGCCGAACGGACTTGAGAAATCGGCATCGCCCGTCTCAAAAGTCCATTTCCCCAGGGTCCTTTCTGGAACCACATGACCTACTTTACGGGCCCCACGGAAGCCGAAATCGACAAGGAACGCTCGGATGCTACAAAAGCGCGGCGGCGTCCCACGGGTCCCAAAACATTCGACGTCTTGTACTCTTCAAGGCGCGGTCCCGCCCCTACCTTGCGACCGGTTTCCCGACGCGAGCCATTTTTCACAGTCCTGGGGCACGGCGAGGGTCCCCAGAGGTCGAATACCGAACAACGTCCCCGTTTTAATTTGTTGAAGTCGTCGTCGTCGTCGTCGTTGTCGTCGTCGTCGTCGCTGTCGTCATCGACGACGAAGACGTTCTGCCCTGCCCCCGCCATGCCCCGAGATCCGACGTTGCGAACACACGCGGCGCAACATCCCCCCCCGAGCGGGCATTCTTTGAGCCGGACCGACCCGGAGATGGCCCAGGAGGCCAAAACCAGCCGAAAACACCCTGCATGAAAAAGTGCAGCTCCCGGCTCTCATCGGCGGTGGACAAACCTCCCTTTAGTGAACCTCCCTTTGGTGAAAACGGCCTGGGACCGAAACCGGCGGACCTGGACCCGCCAAAAGGACGGCCGCGACGCCCTCTCGCGAGCCGAAACCGGCCAATTCGCTGATCGACGTGTCAGGGTAGGAGGTCTATCCACCTCCGATCTCAGAGGGAGAAGCCGCCCAAGCCCCCACGAGTCGGCGGGAGTAAAAACCGGCGGGCCCGCGGGCAGGAGTACACCCTACGAAATGCTTAAGAAATCATGGGTTAAGAAATTCATAGTCTCAGAACTTGAATAAAAACCCAAAATTTCCATTCAAATCTTAGGATTTACATTGAAACATTAAGAATAATCGAGACTCTGGCCGAAAATTAAAGTTTTCTTAAGCATCGCCTAAGGTGTAGGGCGGCAGGTCGACGGGGGCAGCAGCGCGGCGTCGACGTGTCGCTTGAGGGCTCCGGGCCTCTGGGGTCCGCCGGGCCTCGCTCTGGGCCCCAGTGGGGCTCGAGGCAGCTGCTGCCCGAGGTCACTGCTGCCCGAAGTCTCGGGAGGGAAACCTCCGAAAGCCGCCCAGAGCCCCCGCGAGTCGGCGGGCCGATTGGCTTCTAGAGGCCTCCTAGATGGGGTCGGAGTACATGGGGTCGGAGGATCGCGCCGCATCGCCGATGCATCGGCGACTCCAGCGTGAAGAACGTCGGGCTCCACATCGGGCCGCATCGCCGATGCGATCGTCGACGATCCGGCGCGGTCCTTCTCGGGAGCGGCCAAGAGGGGGGTGTCCAAGAGGGGGGGGTGCAAATCATGACCGGCGGCATGTGCGCGGCCCAGCGGGGGGGCCAGGGACGTAATGAAATAAGAAGAGGCGCCATGAAATCTGGGGAAGTATCATGGCCCACGCCATGATATCCACCCCCCCCTAGTCATCACCCCCCTCTTTTCCGCTCCCGCATCTAGAAAGCCTGGAGCTTCCTCCTCCACAGAGGCGGCCAAGCACGCCGCCACCTGCCTCGCGCCGCCCAGCTCCCACGGAGGAGCGTCGCGGGGCGCCGCGAGGCCCGGGAGGCCGTGCGGCCCCGGGCCGTCGCGCAGCCTCGGCCGGGGATGGGGGTGCTACGTGTGTGTATGCGTGTGTGCACGTGTATGTGAGCTAACACGGCTAAGTCTAACTCCGTGTATGTGCATGTATCCATGTATACGACAATCTGTGTGTATATGCGCGCGCGCTTCGCGCGCTTGGGTTCTGGCGCATGCCATGGCGTTGTTAGCTGTGAGTGCTTGTCGGACTGGCTCATTCCATGCCTTGCCCCTTCGTCCTCTAATATTCCTCTTGCGTCCTTCCTCGTTAACCATCCAGTCTCTCTCGGTTGTCCTCGCTTTTCGCTTCTCGTTCTATGGACGGGCTCCTCTTGCTTGGGATTATGCGGGCCTTCGAGCTGTTCAGGGCACGGCGTGGGGAGATATTGAATATGAAGTGGAATTGCTTGGAGTGGTTTCTTGGGGATCTTCCTGTTCGGGCTGCCTTGAAGGCCTTGGGGCCCGCTTGGGGCCCTCTTAGGCTCTTCTTCAAAGTTGTGGGGCCGTCTCGAGCCTCGGGGCCATGTAAAGCTCTCCCGACGCCATCCGAAGGAGAAGAGCGCGAGATTTGCTGAGTATGGAGAAACCTGAATGGCTTTTGCGTTTATGGCTCTCGGGGGTCATTTTTGGGGGCCTTTTGGGAGCTCCACTGGGGCATGTTGTGGCCCCTGGGGGCCGCCTTGAAACATCTTGGAGCGTCTTGGGCCACCGAGGGACCATCTTGGCGGCCAACGGGCGTCCTCCTGAACCAGCTCGGAACCCGCTTCAAGCAGACAAAATCGCCTAAAAACCCCAAGGCGGGTCCAGGAGCCCAGGGGGGCCAAGTGGGTTGCGACGGGGGAGTTTGAGAAAAGTGGGCCAGCCCAGGGCCAGAAACCCTGTCGTCGATGCACAGAGCAAGGTGGAGTCATAGCACACTGGTTGGTCCATGAATGGACGAACTAAACACGTGGCGGGGGGTTACGCCACACTCGCAAAGACATACACTATGAGAACTGATTGCGTGCTCCCCATGGGAAAGGCGAGTAACGCGAGGAGTGGGAGGAACTGGAGGAGGGAGGAGAGATGTGAGAAGAGTAAGGCGGGAAGAAGAGGAGGGACTGGGGGAGAAGTGGGCGCAACAGGCGCTGGAGGTTCCAGCGAAACCCCTCGAACCACGGGGGGGGGGCAAAGTCGAGATGGTGACGCCAAGCTCCCCATCGCTGTCATGGTACTCCACTTCTGGTTCCTCTCCTGTTCCTGCTGCTCCTCCTCATCATCCTCCTAGTGCACCCTGCTCCAAAAAAAGGTCCGAATAGCCAACCTGATTCCACGCAGCGTGGGGTGACGAATAAAGTTGTACAACAAGGGCAAACAATTTGCAACTGAGCCAGCTCGAAAAAGACTCATTTCCCTTCGTCACCAGTCGCCTTCTCCTATTAAATTCAGTACCTCTGGACCTCTCCACCCTCTTCTTGCTCCACTCTCTATTATCGGAGGGGACGGCCGTTCGCCGTTCGACACGCCACACACGTACAACGTACTAACCTGACTCTTTAGGTCCGAGAAGCGAACATTGACGAGGTATCCTGGTAGATGTGCGCGCAAGGTGGAGCGACCAACTCTTGAAAGTAAAACAAATCATCTTATTCACTGGGCTGACCGCAGGCGGGCGTCACCTGCAAGCCAGCCAGCATTGCAGCCTGACACGGCTTAGCGCGTGCTTGGTGGCGTTCGGGAAATGTTTCTGCTGTTCTCTGGGAGCGACGCCTCCCTGCCGCGCGCATCCTCACAAAATCGCGCCCTCTGCACTTTGCTCCACGGCTCACGGGGGCCTGAGCCAGAGACCGCCTCAAGACGGCCGCAACACGCCCCAAACCCGTCCAAAGACGGCCCAACGGTCTCTCTTGGCCCTCTCTTGAAATCCCGTTGGGATTTCTTGGGACCCTCTTGGGACGCTCTTGGGCGGACTCTGGAACCTCCGGGTCCGTTTTTGGGGTCCTCTTGGGCCGTCTTCGGGCGTTAGGGGGGGGGGGGGAGGAGGGCCAGGCGGAGCGGAACAAACGATTGTCTCCGCAGCAAGCAGATATAATCCGAGGTTGGGAAAGAGATCGAGGTGAACAAGAGACCCCCCGCCGCCAGGAAATATCGTTTTCGGTTTCGTGTTCGTGTCGCGCGTGTGGGCGAGGCGAAGCTGCATCGGCGGGCGAGAGGAATGAACCCGCCGTGCTTAGGGCAAAGCCGGGCCAAATTTTGCTGTGCCCTCCGGTTGGCCAGCAGTGGCCCGGGGATGTCCCGTGGTGTGATAGAATCCGAGGTTTGGAAAGAGATCGAAGTGAACAAGAGACCCCCCGCTAGGAAATATCGTTTTCGGTTTCGTGTTCGTGTCGCGCGTGTGGGCGAGGCGAAGCTGCATTGGCGGGCGAGAGAAATGAACCAGCTGTGCTGACGGCAAAACCAGGCCAAATTTTGGTGTGCCCCCGGTGGGCCAAGAGTGGCCCCGGGGGGGACATCATGAAGCCTTCTGGTGTCTCTGTGGCACCACTGAAGGCCGCCTGGGCAGCTCTGAGATCGCTGAAGAGGGTCCCCAGGGAGCACGGAGCCACCATGGCGACCCGAGACACCTGGGAGAAGGCCCCCGGCCCTGTACCCATATATGCACATATATATGTATGTACATGTGTGTGTGTGTCCGTATCACGCAACAGTATATGTGTATATATGTGTTCATTGTTACCTGCGCACATATGGTATATGATATATATATATATATATATATATATATATTTGCACACATCGATTCGTATGCCAATGCGTGTGTAGATGCCGGTGTTTTTGTGTGGGTATAATCCGATGGCTCATCACATGTATGTGCGTATGTGTGTATGCATGCATGTATGTATGCATGTATGTATGTATGTATGTATGCGTCACGACATATTATATATACATATGCATATGTATATGTGCATATATACACATAATTGTATTTGTGTACAAATGTGTATCTACATCTGTGTACATGTACGGCCACTGCCATTAACGTATAGTCACGGGATGTACCCCGCGCGAACAAGGACACGCTTTTCCTTTTTTACACAGTCGCTTACGACACACCGTTCTCAAATCTTTCTAAATCGCTGCTGTTCCATTCCTCTCCCGCGCAGTGTATGAAGATATATGTATACGCGAACACAAAAAGAAGGGGGAGGCACACATCCAACTTATCTCCAGTACAAGCTCGGATTCATTTCCAAGGAAGGGAAGGAAGAGGGGGGCGTAGTTTCCCCCCCCTTTAACCAGGGATCCCCCAGCTACAAAATCCAAACACAGGGAACCTCTCTCGGCCCCTCGGCGGTTCAAGCCGAAATCGGGGGACGGCCAGGCGCGCGGCGAGCCCAGGTGGCCCCCAGATGCCCCTAGGGCCCTCCAAAGCCTCCAGAGCCCTCCGGGCAGACACATGCCCACACCCTCGATCCTCGATCCTCGGCGGGCCCTCCAAACCCTCGATCCTCGATCCTCGTTCTCCAGGGTCGGCAGCGGCGAGCGGCAAACGTCGTCAAAGCCATGGTCGGGCTTAGGGCAGGCTCGGGTGGCCAGGCAAGGACGATCCGGCGCTGTGGAGCGGCCGCGCGGGTGGCCTGCGCCTGGCAAGCACAACAGCAGCGCTATCACGCTCACCGCAAAGACCTAGCTCGATATTCAGTCCACGAAAGGCTCTCGGACACGACGAGGAGGAGGAGGAGGAGGAGGAGGAGGAGGAGGAGGAGGAGGAGGAGGAGGAGGAGGAGGAGGAGGAGGAGAGGAGGAGGAGGAGGAGGAGGAGGGAGGAGGAGGAGGCTGAGGAGAAGGAAGAGGAGGAGGAGGAGGAGGAGGAGGAGGAGGAGGAGGAGGAGAGGAGGAGGAGGAGGAGGGAGGGAGGAGGAGGAGAGGAGGAGGAGGAGGAGGAGGAGGAGGAGGAGGAGGAGAGGAGGAGGAGGAGGAGGAGGAGGAGGAGGAGGACGAGGGAGGAGGAGGAGGAGGAGGAGGAGAGCCAGATGCCTGGGCAGCTGTCCGCAATCTTTCACTGGCCTGGGCTGCTTGCGCGCTACAAAGGCGTTGCGAAGGGGGTCGCCTACGGGACCCGTGGCTTTTAGGCCTTTTGGCCCGCTGCAGCGCAAGGCCATCCCGACGAAAAAGCAAACAATATCGTTACGGATAGTCGGGGGGGGGCTTAGGATCTTTCGGCTAATCGCCCCCGGCTCGGGTTACTTGCCTGCGCTGTGCCTTCGGTGCAAAAGGCAGCCTGCTACTGTTTCCCTCCCACCCCCGACCTCCCCCACCCCTCCCCCCGATCCACTATCCAACAAGTCTCTATCGCATGTTTACAAGCGTCCCAAGGCCCAGTTGGGCCAAGGGGAACACGGCAATCAACATGCCCAAGGCGGGGACGGCCCAGGGGGAGGAGAAGAGGCCGAAACCAGGATCACGGAGGAGGGAGGGGGCCCTGGAAAACGCCCCCGACCAAAAAACGAAACGACGCTACAGACCTTGCCTTCGTGCTATCCACGCGTACAAAAAAACACAACTATGATTCGTCTAACCTTCACACGCTTGTCATCGGTCCCGACTGTTGCTGATAAGTCTCAGGAGTTCGCTCGCTCTGGCGCTGCCTCGGCTCGCCAGCAATCTAAAGCCGTCCATGTTCACTCCCTGCCTGGCCCTGAGCGCCGTGTGGAGTTGGCGTTCGAGTCCTGACGGAGGTGGAGCGCCGTGGATCATGTCTGCGCCTTGCGCTTTGAGCCGTCACGATGATCTTGCGAAGGTCCGAGATGCAGTGCTTGCCGAGCTGGATCTCCGCTTCCTGGTTGCCCACGTGGATCGCGTTGAGCTGCTCCTGCCAGTGTGCGCTCCACGGAAAAATCGCCAATGGGTTGAACATGATGTACACTTTCCATTTCGCGTCGTGGCTCTGCTCGCTGTAGGCCTTCTTCGCTGTCAAATAACTCACGATGTCGCCGAAATCGTTCACGATGTCTCCGCTGTCATGCGGAACTCCTCCAGAACTGTCTTCCTCTCGCATTTCAGCGTGTCTTCTCGGCTCAGCTCCATGGAGAAATCGACTCCGATGTGGAGGTGTGGTGGTCCGAGCTGCTTCGTCCCTTCTCCTTGCTGCGCTCTGGATACGTGACCCCTGCCTTTGCTGCCGCGTCCACGGCCGCGTTCCCTCCTGGGGCCAGGAAGAAGTCCCGCAGGCGGCCCGATAGCTGGCGGATCATCTGCGCGTTGTCGAGGCTCAGCTTCTGGATGAGGGCGATCTCCTCTGACATCGTGGCGTCGCCTGACCATTTGGCGCCAAAGGGCTCCCTCTGGCCGCCGCGCTGCTGCTTGTGCTTCGGTGCTGGTGCCGCTGGCGCGGCCTCTCCCGTGTCGCCTCTGGGCCGGCTGGGCTTGCCCGCCGTGGCTCGCCGCGACATCGCCAGGTCCAGCAGCGTGGCCACGAACGCGTGTAAGGTGTTCGTTGAAACAACCATCCCCGCGGCTGCAGTAGCCTCACGTGTAAAAAGGGTTTCTCTTCGGGCTGAAGACTGAATTTAGTGGCTCGGTTAGGGCGCGGCAGCGGACCTGACTTTGACGTGGTGATCGCACGTCTCAAACACGGCGCGCGGCTAGCGCAAGCTGTTCGACACCATGGGCACACGTTCGTCCGAGCAATCATGGAATACAAATTCCTCATGTTGTGGGCACGGGTGACGCGCGCCGTCGGTGCCTTCGTTCATCGTCGCGTTGGACATCCCGCATCCCTTCCCCGCGCCCTCATCTCCCACCTCGTGCATGCACGCGTGCTCACCGCGATGGTGCTGCCGTCGCTGGCGGCGTCATCGCCGCCCTCGTTCGTAGACGTCTCCCAGGTGCTGCCGTTCGGCGCCGCGAGACCGACTCGTGCTAGGAGTTGCACAACTCGCTGGGCCCCGTCTCGACTCAGGAGATGCCTAGGGGGGCCCGCGTGGATCTTCCCGAATAGTTTCCCTATCCCAGGATCCTGAAAGACCTGCAAGACGTCGTGCCTGTTTCCCCAATTCTGGTCGAACCCCGTGTCTACATTCGCCAGTGCCTCCAGGTCGCCCCTGAGTTGGTACGCCCAGGGTGTGCTGTGCTCCGTGATCCCGCCTGTGGCCCCTAACCTGGGTTGCTCGATAAGTCGGTCCAGCTCCAGGGCCCCGAATATTGCGGCAAGGACTTGGCGATTGTTTTGGGGTTCCCTTGCAATCTGTTGCCGCCGCCGCAGTCTCTGAATTCTCAGCTCGGTGGCCGTGCGACTCGCCCTCCAGTGCTTAAAGACGGAACTGTTCGTGTGGACCCTGACGCGACAGTTGCGCTCGGTCTTGGCCTTGGGTGCATCAGGAAGCGCATCCTTCGCGCCGGCGCGGAGTCCAGCTTGTCTGTGGACGCCTCGGGCAAGACGGACGCCGCGAGGCCAGTGGCCGCAGCGCTGCTCTCGAAACGACGGAAGAGCGCGCGGGGGAGGCGCGGGTGTAGCGGTTGCCGCCGGACTTCGCCTGGCGGTCTCCAAGCTGCTCGGGCTCCTTTCATGCGGTTCTGTAGTTCGGTTCTCAAGACTCCGCCGAAGCTTCAAGTGGGTCCTGGGGCGCAGACTACCCGCCACCCAGTTCCCTGGAGCCGTATTTGTCGGCTAACTTCCCACGCCGCCTCAAGGGTCCCTGGCCCGCGAAATTGGCGAGGTGGTTCCTGGGTTCAAACAGTGGCCATTCTGCTGCGTGGATCTCTGCGATTTAGCTGCTGTGTGATGTGCTTGGCATTGGGGGCGTATGCGTGAATCTGCGTGCGTGATGCGTCATCCACGAAGAGGCCGACGCCTGTGTCTACTTCCACCCGTGAAGCTGGGCGCAGACCACGTGGCCAGCTGTGGCTTGCGCCCTCGGCTGCGAGGCGGTTGGTCCACGCGTCGCCCGTAGGCGAGTAAATGTCAACACAGCCGCCTGCCGCTAGGGAGTGTCCCGTCCCGTCGTGGTCCCCGTGGTCGGATGGTAGTCGTCAGTGCCGCCGTGGGCTTCGACGTGCGCTTGGTGCATGCACATGCGTTCGTGCCGTCGTAGTTGCTCAGCGCGTGGCTTAATTTTGCTTGCCTACATATCCGAAGACCCGCCGCCGGGCTCGGGATGCACCATTCCCGTCGACGCCCCGCATCGCCCCGCGTGCGAATTCAGGGGGCGTGGGGGTCTCCGAGAGGCCCCCTGAAGTTGCCCGAAATAAGACATTCCAAATGCGTCGAAACAGTGGAGCACCCGCTGGCCCTCGACGCCCCTCTTGCGATGTTCTTACTCTGCACGAGCGGCTGTGACCTGATGGTGCTCAGGGGGGCCTCTCCTACGATTCTGATCAACGCCAAGAGGTCAGTGTAGCGCCTGCTGAAATTCTCTGGAACAAACTTCCGGTCGTTCTCGTTGGCGTAGCGTCTCGGGTCGATGCACATGCACACTGCCTCCGCCACGACTCCCCGCGATGGCCCCGCTCTGCGTTTGGGCGCTCTGCGAAGACATCGCGCCTGCCCTGCGCGGTCTCCTCGGATCAAGTCCCCGAGCGCCTCGTGCTCGTGCAAATGAGGAAGCTCCGATCTTCTGTCCATGCTTGCCAGTCGTCTTGTCGCATGCCATGCCTCCGTCCTGCGGAGGTAGTGCCATGCCGTCTGGCCATTGTTGTGTCGCCATTCCCTGTCCCCGTGCAGAAATGAAGGGCTTCTCGGGCCCTCGGCCCGTGTTGGAGAGCATGATGCGAAGGCGATGAAGTTCTGCAAAGCGGCGATGTTTCAAAGCTTGGTCTACCGCCCCGACTAGCTGCTCCAGCTTTGTCTGCTTCTGGTGGCGACGAAGTTGCTGCAGGCATCGGGGTAGCTTCTTTGGCTTGGCCTCTACTATGTCGATCTGCGTGAAGCCATCCCCACAATGAGCTTTGCTCTCTGTGGCGGCGGTCTCGGCGCGCAACCTGGACCTCTCCTGGAGCAGCTCGATCCTCTTGCTTCGCGTGTATTCGTAATCGATGATGTTGACGCTATTCTCCGGGTAAATCTCCTGCATGGCGCCGCGTATCCCTTCCTATAGTTTGTCCCGCCATCCCTGCGCATTGCCTTGGTCCCAGTCGGGGCGCCATTCGGCTTCGCTGATGCCTGTGGCCCTGTTCCCCGCTGCCCTCAGGAACTCGCTGCTTCTGCATCCCGTAGTGTATGCTGCCATTATGGTGTCTCGGTTGGCCGCTGGCGTGAGGTTACTTGCCCGTGCTCTTGCGATAGAGATGTCCGGATTCACATACACGGGCACGTGGTCGTGCAAATGGGTAGTAATGTGAAGCTGCAGCCGTCGCGCCAGTCCGAGAAGCGGGTGGAGCTGTCGTATTCGTGGTCGTGCGGTGATCGGCATAACGAAATGGTCGATCTTGCTCTTGCGCGTGCCCTTGTAATATGTCGGCCCGCTGTGCAGGTATGTGTCCTGCGCCGTCATATGATTGTTATCCAAGAAATCTCAAACCAATTTGCTGGTATTGCCTTCGGGCGCGGGCTCCGCAGTTCCCACGCAATCACTATCTTGCGGTACTTTGCGGCCTGTGATGTCGGTCTGCCATCCGAACGAGCAATTGCAGTCCCCCGCTACTATCGGCATGCAGTTGTGACCTAGCTTGTCGACATCGCTTCCTATCCAGTGCACGGTGCGGTGGCTCAGCTTTTTGTGCGTGTTCACAGCCAATCCTTTGGGCGGGAGGTACACACTGGGAAAACGGCCGTCGCTATTGTGCCAATTGTGAACACCGTCATGGCCACGCGGCCTGTGATGCCCAGCGACTTGGGAGGTACTGCCACCCGCTGAAAATTTCCTCGAAGGCGTGATCCGGATAGCACCGCGAGCCCGCACGAGCTGTTGGTTCCCTGTGGTTTCCGCCATCCAAATTGTACGCAAGCGTGGTGCGGCAGCTGACTCTGGCCAACGTTTTCTTCCTGTCTGGCTGCACGGCCCGTCCTGATCGCTGAGTACATGTCAGTGTTCTCTGTTTGCATGGATCTCTCCTCCAATCTATTGAAATCAGCCCAATGCACATGGTCTTAAGCAGTCTTCATTGCATGAACGGATATCAAACAAACAAGATCGTGGGGTACGGTAGCTGGCTGCGAGTGGGGTGTCTCGCCTCCGCTGCCCGAGTGGCCCTGTCACCTGCGCGTCGCCTTGTGTGTCCCTTGGCAGGAAATCTATGGTGGCAAGGATCGGGGGTGGGCCGCGCGCAGGTGTCTGGGCCGTGGCGGCGACTGGAGGAGGAGGAAGAGGAGAAGGATGAGAAGGAGGAAAAAGAGGAGGAGGAGGTTGAGGAGGAGGAGGAGGATCAGGAGGAAGAGGGCAAGGAGGAGGAGGAGGAAAAGGAGGAGGAGGAGGAGGAGGGGGAGGAGGAGGAGGAGGAGAGGGAGGGGGACGAGGATGAGGAGGATGAGGAGGAGGAGGCGGAGGAGGAGAAGGGAGGATGAGAGAGAAGGACGACATCAAGGATACGAATGATGCATGGTGGGGAGGGGAAGCGCGGTTTTCGGGCCATGGCACAAGTCTCCTCTGGCCGTTCGGGACGATCTGGGCCGGGGCGAGTCGCATCTGCTGATGAGTACCGCGGAGCTGGAACACCGCCGAGAACCGAAGGACATGGTCGAAGACCAGAGCCTGCCTTCCCCCCCTCCTGGAAGCCGAGGGACCCAGACAACCAGCGAAACAGTTGTCGCTCCGGACCTACCCCTGATGGTCCCAGGGCCCGAGAACACGCCCACAGGGCCGACATCAAGGAACAACGCCCAGATTGAGTTTATCCTGGCGCGCGACACAAGCACATGCAATTGTGACTACTGCAAGCAGGTGGGACGAAGAATGGGAAGCGAAGCCCACTTGCCGGTGGGGCCACGAAATATGAGAGTGGTGTCCAACACGTGGTCGACGAACCGCATGTGGACCCTGCCGCTGGGGTCTTCGGTAGAGCTCCGTATGAGGCTACGAAGCGTGCGAGTGTGCCGACAAACATGCCAGGGGCAGAGGCAAGGGATTGGACGAGGAAGAGGAGAAGGCGGAGGCGGAGGCGGAGGAGGAGGAAGAGGAGGGGGAGGAGGGCGGAGGAGGAGGAGGAGGAGGTTGAGGAGGAGGGGGATGGAAGGATTGGGAGGAGGAGGGAGGAGGAGAGGGGGAGAAGGAGAGGAGGAGAAGCAGGGAAGAGTGAGGAGGAGGCGGGCGAGGAGGAGGAGGAGGAGGAGGAGGACGCGGAGGAGGAGGAGGGGGAGGAGGAGGCGTAGGAGTAGGAGTAGGAGTAGCAGTAGCAGTAGCAGTAGTAGTAGGAGTAGGAATCGGAGTAGTAGGAGTAATAGTAGTAATAGTAGTAGTAGTAGTAGTAGTAGTAGTAGTAGTAGTAGTAGTAGTAGTAGTAGTAGTAGTCGTAGTAGTATTAGTAGTCGTAGTAGTAGTTAGTAGTAGTAGTAGTATTAGTAGTTAGTAGTAGTAGTTAGTA